CCCTGACGCAAACTTCCTGCTCCCTCATTTCCTCCTCTTCTCCCCTTCTCTATCTTCTAACTCCCTTTCCCCTTCCCCCATGCTCCAAATTTGCTCAGGAGATCTTGTCCCTTTCCCCTTCTCCAGGGGAACATGTGTTTCTCTTAGGGTGCTCCTTGTTTCCTAGCTTCTCTGGTGGTGTGGACTATAGTCTGGTAATCCTTTGCTCTATGTCTAATATCCATCTATGAGTGAGTACATACTATGTATGTATTTTTGTGACTGGGTCACCTCACTCAGGATGGTTTCTTCTAGTTCCATCCATTTGCCTGTGAATATGAAGAATCCATTGTTTATTTTTTCCCCTCAGCTGAGTAGTACTCCCTTGTGTAAATGTAGAAAATTTTGTTTATCCATTCTTCAGTTGAGGGGCATCTAGGATGCTTCTGGCTATTATAAATAATGCTGCTATAAACATAGTTGAACAGATGTCCTTGTTGTATGAATGTGCATCCTTTGGGTATATGCCAACAAGTGAATTTCTGGATCTGATTTTCATTTTCCTGAAGAGTGGCCATACTGATTTCCAAAGTGGCTATACAAGTTGGCACTCCCACCAGCAGTGGAGGAGTGTTCCCCTTTTTCCACATCCTCTCCAGCATGAACTGTCATTGGTGTTTTTTATTTTAGACATTCTAACATGAGTAAGATGGTATCTCAAAGTTGTTTTGATTTGCATTTCCCTGATGGCTAAGGATGTTGAACAATTTCTTAAGGGTCTTTCAGCCAGTATAGACTCCTCTATTGAGAATTCTGTCTAGTTCTTACCCCACTTTTTAATTGTATTCTTTGGTGTTTTGGTGACTAGCTTCCTGAGTTCTTTGTATATTTTGGAAATCAGTCCTCTGTAAGATTTGTGGTTGGTGATGCTGTTTTACCAATCTGTGGGCTGCCATTTTGTCTTGTTGACTGTGTCCTTTGCCTTACAGAAGCTTCTCAATTTCAGGAGGTCCCATCTATTAATTTTGATCTCAGTATCTGTGGTTCTGGTGTTATGTTCAGTAAGTGGTCTGTACCAATTCATTCAAGGGTACCTCCCACTTTCACTTCTAAGAGGTTCAGTGTGAGTGGATTTACATTAAAGTCTTTGATCCATTTGGGCTTAAGCTTTGGGCATGGCAATAGGTATGGATCTATCTGCAATCTTCCACATGCCAACATCCAGTTATGCCAGCATCATTTTTTGAAGATGCTTTCTTTTTTCCATTGTATAGTTTTAGCTTCTTTGTCAAAGATCAGGTGTTCATAGGTGTGTAGGTTAGTATCAGCAAATCAAGTTGTTTTCAGGACTATAGCTGTATAATAGAGCTTGAAGTCAGGGTTGATGATGCCTCCGGAAGTTCCTGCATTGTATAGGGTTGTTTTAGCTATTCGGGTTTTTTGTTTTTCCATATGAAGCTGAGTATTTTTCTTTCAAGGCCTGTGAAAAATTGTGCTAGGATTTTAATGGGGATTGCATTGAATCTGTAGATTGCTTTTGGCAAGATTACCATTTTTACTATGTTGATCCTGCCTATCCAAGAACATAGGTGATCCTCTATTTTCTGGTATCTTCTTTAATTTCTTTCTTTTAAGACTCAAAGTTCTTGTTATACAGGTCTTTCACTTTTTTGGTTAGAGTTATCCCAAGGTATTTTATGTTGTTTATGGCTATTGTAAAGGGTGATGTTTCTCTGAATTCTTTCTCAGCACATTTATCTTCTGTATATAGTAGGGCTACTGATTTCTTTTTAGTTAATCATGTATCCTGCCACTTTCCTTAAGATATTTATCAGCTGTAGGAGTTCCCTAGTAGAGTTTTTCTGGCCACTTATGTAAACTATCATATCATTTGCAAATAGTGAAAGTTTGACTTCTTCCTTTCCAATTTGTATCCCCTTGATCACCTTTTGTTGTCCTATTCTCTAGCTAGAACTTCAAGGACAACATTGAAGAGGTATGTAGAGAGTGGACAGCCTTGTCTTATTCCTGATTTTAGAGGAATCGCATTGAGTTTCTCTCCATTTAATTTGATGTTGGCTGTTTGTTTGCTGTTTATTACTTTTATTATGTTGGGGTATGTTCCTGTTATCCCTGATCTCTCTAGGGTCTTTCTCATGAAGGGGTGTTGGATTCTGTAATAGGCTTTTTCAGCATCTAGTGATACGACCAGGTGGTTTTTCTTTTTTAATTTGTTTGTATGGTGGATTACATTGATGGATTTTTGTATGTTTAACGGTCCCTGTGTCCCTAGGATGTTGCCAACTTGATCATGGTGGATGATTTTTCTGATTTGTTCTTAGATTCGACTTGCCAGTATTTCATTTAGTATTTTTGCATCAATGTTCATGAGGGATATTGGTCTGTAGTTCTCTTTCTTAGTTGTGTCTTTGTGTGGTTTGAGTACCAAAGTAATTGTAGCCTCATGAAAAGAGTTTGGTAATGACCCTTCTGCTTCTATTGTTTGGAACAGTTTGAGGAACTCTTCTTTGAATTTCTGGTAGAATTCTGCACTGAAAAGTCTGGTCCTGATCTTTTTTTGGTTGGGAGACTTTTGGTTACTGTTTCTATTTCATTAGGGGTTATAGGTCTATTTAAACTGATTGTCTGTACTTGATTTAATTTTGGTAAATGATATCTATCCAGGAAATTGTCCATTTCCTTTTATTTTTGAGTTTTGTGGAGTATATGTTTTCCAAGTCTGTCCTGATGATTATGTGGATTTCCTTAGTGTCTGTTGTTATGACCCCCTTTTTATTTCTGATTTTGTTAATTTGCAAGTTCTCTCTCTGCCTTTTTGGTAAGTTTGGATAAAGGTTTGTCTATCATGTTGATTTTCTCAAAGAACCAACTAACTCTTTGTTTCATTGATTCTTTTTATTGTTTTCTTTTTTTACTTTATTGATTTCAGCCCTCAATTTGATTATTTCCTAGAGTCCATTTCTCTGAGGTGAGTTTTCTTCTTTTTGTTCTAGAGCTTTTAGTTGTGCTGTTAATTCTCTAGTGTGACTATTCTCTATTTTCTTCATGTGGGCACTTAATGTTATGAACTTTCCTCTTAGCACTGCTTTCAAAGTGTCCCATAAATTTGGGTATGTTGTGTCTACATTCTCATTAAATTCTAGAAAGTCTTTTATTTCATTTTTATTTCTTTCTTTACCCAGGAATGGTGCAATTGTGCATTATTGAATTTCCATGAGTTTGTATGTTTTCTGCAATTTGTGTTGTTGTTGAATTCTAACTTTAAAGCATGGTGGTCTGATAAGATACAGGGGTTATTCCAAATTTTTGTATCTGTTTAGTTTTGCAATATTGATGAGTATGTAGTTGATTTTTAAAAAGGTTCCATGTGGCCCTCAGAAGAAGATGCATTATTTTGTGTTTGGATGGAATGTTCTATAGACGTATGTTGAACCCAATTGGGTCATAATTTCTGTTGGTTCCTTTGTTTCCCTGTTAATTTTCTGGTGTTCCTGCCTAGTGGTAAGAGTGGGGTGTTGAAGTCTCCCACTATAACTGTGTGAGGTTTTATGTGTGCTTTGAGTTTTAGTAGGTTTTTGTTTTTGTTTTCAAATGTGGGTGCCTTTGTATTTGTTGCATAGATGTTCAGACTTGAGACTTCATTTTCATGGATATTTTCGGTGATGAATATTAAATCTTAGTGCCAACTATAATTTCAGTCATGTTATTTGATAATACCCTGTGCTTATTCATTTACCAAATAATGCTCTACTTTTGCAGGTCATATATTAATGTGGGCAACTTTTTCATAAGATGATTCAAAAAATGTAACCACTGGAAAGAGAAAATTTTAAGATTTTTCCATTTCACTTGCTTTAGCTACTAATTAAATTAATTTAACCTTGAAAAATTTCTCTTCAAAGCTCATTTTTCCATCTCAATAAATCCTATACCTCAGATTTTTAAGTAGCTTTGTACTCCCACCTCACACAATTTTCTGAAACTGTATTTACATGTCAAGATTCATTCTTCTTGGTACTTGAAGCATAAGAAACCACAATGAAGGCCACCAGTGATGTGCAAAATATTTAATCCTTGCATGAAGACACAGAGGCAGACAGATCACTGTGCATTTCAAGTCAGCCTGATCCACATAGTGAGTTCCAGGAATCCCAGAGCTACATAGTGAGACTTTGTCTCTAACATAAATTAAAAATAATTAATAATTACAACGTCTTACTTCAAACCCTGACAATATTGGAATAGAAGGTCAACAGAACATAAGATGACAACAGAATGAAAGCAATGGACATAGTAATAGAAAGTTTACAGAAAATCACTCCAATGATTGATCTTCAGTTTTGAGACTATGAGAAGGAAATCAGACATTTCAGCTAGATGACCTGCATAAGGTGTAATATTAGCCCTAAGTCTCTCTCTCTCTCTCTCTCTCTCTCTCTCTCTCTCTCTCTGTGTGTGTGTGTGTGTGTGTCTCCCTCCCTCCCTCTCCCTCTCTCTCTCTCCCTCTCGCTCTCTCTCTCTCACACAGTCTCTCTCTCTCTCTCTCTCCCCTCATCTCTTTTACAGTATAAACTGTTATGTTTCAAGTAACTACTGTCACTGCAATTCTTTGAAAACACTGTAATAAATTAAACTTCTCTAAATGTACAGAAAATATGACTTGCCATCTTAACTGTTGTATACTCAAGAAAGAAAAGGCTTTTGTCTTCCAGTGTCTTTAATTTCCTTGTAATTTATTCTCTTAAAAGAGTTGAACAGAAAATACCATCATATAGATTGTTCTAGAGTAAAATTAAAAGTTAATATTCTAAGATATGTCCAGAAACTATAAACTACTCTTTTCTAGGTATGATCTTCTTCAGATCATGGATGAGTATGGTGTTACTATCTGAAATGTGGCCCCTGCCATGTCAATGGTAATTCAGCATGACATATCACCAGTATAGTTCTAAAGTGGTTAAGTGGGAACCCCCCTTTTATTTAGAGCAACTAACAGCCAGAGGATCACAATGAAGAACCACACAAAGGTGACAGTTTTTATCCTAGCAGGTTTGACTGATGACCCACAGTGGAAAGTTGCGTTGTTCATATTCCTGCTTCTTACCTATCTGCTCAGCATCACTGGCAATCTGATCATTATCACACTCACCCTGGTGGATACTCACCTGAAGACCCCTATGTATTTTTTCCTTCGAAACTTCTCATTCTTAGAGATGTCCTACACTACTACATGCATCCCCAAGTTGCTTGTTACTATGGCAACTGGTGACAAAACCATTTATTACAACAGTTGTGTCTCTCAGGTGTTCTTTGCTTTCCTATTTGGAGCATCAGAATTTTACCTGCTGGCAGCCATGTCCTATGACCGATATGTGGCCATCTGCAAACCTCTACACTACATGACCATCATGAACAATAAAATCTGTGTGCAGTTAGTCCTCAGTTGTTGGCTTGCTGGCTTTTTTGTCATTTTCCCACCACTCGTGATAGGCTTGAATCTTGACTTCTGTGCTTCCGACATCATTGATCATTTCTACTGTGACACCACTCCACTCATGCAGATTTCCTGCACAGACACACAGCTCCTGGAGACGATGGGGTTTGTCTCAGCTCTGGTGACACTCTTGCTCACATTGCTAATGGTGATAATATCCTACACCTACATTGCCCTGACGATTCTAAAAATCCCTTCAACCAGCCAGAGGAAGAAGGCTTTCTCCACATGCTCCTCTCACATAGTTGTGATATCCCTCTCGTATGGCAGCTGCATCTTCATGTATGTGAAACCATCGGTCAAGCAGAGAGTATCTATTTCCAAGGGAATTGCTGTGCTCAATACCTCAGTGGCCCCACTTCTGAATCCTTTTATCTACACCTTGAGGAATCAGCAAGTGAAAAGAGCCTTCGTCAATACAATACACAGGATTGCATCTTTGTCAAAGAAGTGACTATTCCGTTTCAATATATGAAGGAAATGAAAAAAAAATAAGATTTCAATAACACCAGTAGTACCTAAGATTAGTCTGCTTCAATTTTCTGTCAGTGTTTTGCTATTCAATTTCATATCTCAAAGAAAATTATTGCTCTTTAGAAGCCACTTTTATCAGTGTGTGGAGCAGGGATTTAGTCAAACATGACTTCAGAGTTGCTAGGCCAGCACATTATTATTGTCTTAAAATTCCAGCTTATATAAGCTAACATCATTTTAAACTCAAAGATATTTTCACTAAAACTCATCTTTTGTCCTCAGTGATAACTGAGAGATATTGAACCTATTTTTCCAATGTCTCTTCTGTCTTATAGAAACTTGTTATGGCAGTGATTTGGCTCAATATTAGAGGGATTCTCAGCACAAAGGGGCCTGGTTTTGATCCCCAATTCCAGAAGCTAGAAAAAAAGTGAATTTTTAAGTTCAAGTTAGTTAAGACTATGAAGTATTGGTTCACATTACATTTGATGGGAAAGTTATACCACTACTTATAACATTATGTAATATAAAATCTTATTTATTTCCTTCCAATTTTATGCATGTTTTACTTCAATAAACTTAAAGCCACCAGGGTAATTTCACAGAAAAAGGCCCTAGTAGCCAATACTGACTTCATGGGTTTGGTCCCTGAACCCATAAAGTAGAAGAACAAAACAATTCCCACAAGTTTTCCTTGGATCTCCATCAGAGATGTTGCTGTTATCTCCCATACACACATAGTCACATAGGCAAAATAAATTATTTAAAATATAGTATTTTTAATTAAAAGAAAATTATATCAGAGTTTATTGTAGTTTTTCATCTGTAGATGTATATATTCATCTTTGAATATTATACATAATCATAGTTGTAAACATTTTGTGGAAATTATTTATTAAGACTGAACTTACATTTATAATTTACAAATTATTCTAGCCATATATAAAAGAAAATGTGTTAGGCTAACTGGTTAATTGTTAACTTTTCAGCTGACCTGTACAGATCTTGTCTGTTGGACCTGGGATCTGAGGGTCTGAAAAATGGGAAAGACTACAGTCTAATGCTATAGACAATCTTACTTCAGTTTCAGTGTATTTTTATACATGAATGAAACAAAGAATGCAATGATACAGGGAAGGTTATTTTGAGTTCACAAAAAACATAGTGAAAAAAGTTGTTCAGAACAAAACATGTAAATAAACACCACTAAACACTAAATATTAACAGAGCAACCACTTACCAGAACTTTCTCGGGACAAAGCAATTGAAACACATGTCTGGGAAAGCATGAAAGCAAGGCAGAAGCCCATAATCACTGACAAGCCCAATGTGCACTGACAAGATTGGATTCTATAGGTGTGATGTGACATCCAACAAGAATAAACATGTCTTATAAATTGAATGTAAATGTTTGTCACAGGAGGCATGAAATCACATCCCAGGGAACAAAATGCATCTGAGGTAAAAGGCCCTGAAGCCTCTCTGACAGTTCCTCAAGGCATTGCTCACCGTGTGTCATTCCTTTGACAATGATCCTACAGTTAATTTTGAAAATTACTTAACATAATAGGTAATTAATACTTTGGAAATCTGATTAGCTTGTAGTGTTTGAGCTAATGAGAGATAATTTGTGATTAGTTTATATAGTTTGAACTGATGAGAGATGATTTGTGAATGTTACCTATGTATTTATTATTTTCAAACTTGCTTACATGTTCATTTCAGACATAATTGTACAACGCAAAAAAGACAGGTGAGCAAAGAGGGGTGTGTGTGTGTGTGTGTGTGTGTGTGTGTGTGTGTGTGTGTGTGCGCGCGCTGTGTGTGTGTGTCCGCTAGTGAAAGAAAAATAGCTAAATAATCAACACTTTCTCTTAATGGGAATGTTTAGTTTGGATCAAAACCCATGGGAAACCCAAGGTTAATTTTTGTTTTGCTATCAGAATTTCAAAAAGTAAGAATCACAGGCACTAATACTTTATCAGCTATGCACTTTATTTCATAAAATGTTTCCTAAATCTGTTAATTTTTCTATGTTGTTCTCTTCACATTTCATTTGTTTATTTTTGTTTTGTCTCTATTTTTCTTTTACAGAAAATAAATTTTTCCATGCACTGTACATGATTACAACCTTTCCTCCTTCAGCTGCTCTCAGATTCTCTCTACCTCCCCTCCCATCTGAAGCCACATGCTTTGTTTCTCTTTAGAAAACAAACAGGCATATAAAAATAATAAAATGAAATGAAATGAAGCAACAACCAAACAAATTGAAATAGGACAAAACAAAGACTCTCCTTTTATTTTGTGCAGAATACCTTCCAGTTCCATGAACACTAATCAATAGGGATAAAGAGACTCTAGTGGCCACCAGCTCCACTCCATGTTCAGTGATTTGTGTAGATGTTTTCTTCAGCAGTAGGACCTTATCATCAGCTGTGGAGAACAATCAATAATCGCATCTGTACTGGATGTTAGTATTCAGGCATCTGTACTGGCCTGTCCTTGGGGTTCTAACAGGATATGCCCTCAGCTGAAGCTACTAAGAGCACCACCTGTGCATATCCACGATTTTCCCTTTTTAAAGGGCCCTGTCTATCTTCCATCCTTCTCTCTCTCTCTCCCTTTCTCTCTCTCTCTCTGTCGGTCCCCCCTCTCCTTCTGTCTCCCTCTCTCCCCTCTCTTCCCTCCTCTCCCCCTGTCACCTTTCTCCTGTCTCCTGCTGCTTCTGTCTCCAGAGGCTGGTCTCCCCACACTCCTTTCTCCTTTTTATGATCCATTTCCCTAATAAAAATCCCTCTGCTTTAACCCTGCTGCATGGCATCTTTCTTTCGTGTTAAGTTTTTCTTAAATTACAACACTAAGTGTTTTTGTGTGTCAACTTAACTCATGCTGGAGTCATCAGAGGAAGGAGCCTCAGCTGAAGAAATGCCTCTTTGAGATCCAGCTGTAGGGAATTTTCTCATTTAGTGATCAATGAGGGAGGGCCCAGCCCATGGTATATGGTTCCATTCCTAGACTACTGGTCATGGGTTCTAAAAGAAGATGGGAGACTCAAGACATGGGAAGCAAGCAAGTATGCAGCTCCCCTCCATGGCTTCTGCATCAGCTTCTGCTTCCAAGATCCTGCCCTGTTTTGAGTTCCTGTTCTGACTTCCTTTAGTGATGAACAGCAATGCTGAAGTACAAGCCAAATAATATCATTTCCTCCCCCAACTTTCTCTTTGGTCCTGGTGTTTCATCACAGCAATAGCATGGTTTTTTCAGGGATTCCCATGGAGTCTCTTTGGCCAACAATTCGGTTAAAAGTAATCCATTCCCAGGACTGAAAGCTTCATTTGGTGACAAAAGATGTACAGTTGGGGTTCCATTGTCCCTATAATTTGGTGATTTATTTTATGTTGCCTTCCTATCTTTCAGGAAGCTACTACTGTACTGGGTCTCTCTACATCCCCTCAAATGGCCCTTTATATTAGATATCCTTCCTCTTATTTCTTTTCTCTATCCTCCTTCTCTCCCTTCCCGATTTGATTCTACTGTTCCACAACCTTCAATTTCAGCCACAGCAATCTATTGTATTTCCCCTTCCCAGAGAGAGCCACCCCTCTGTCTTAGTCCCTTACATTATACCCATCCTCAGAGTTTACATAGATTGTGACTTGCTTATTGAAGACTTAAGAGTTAATATCTACATATGAATGAATCCATACCATATTTGTATTTCTGGCTCTGGGTTCCCACACTCAAGACGATTTCTTTTTCCTCTAGCTCCATCATGTTACCTGCAGATTTCATGGTTTCATTTTTTTAATGGTTGGGCTTGGCAATGATCTATGAGTACAGCAGAATATCATTAGGAATCATTTCACTGATATATTTTTTTTCCTTTCTTGCCAGTCTTGTTTGTTTCTATGCTAGGTCTCTGGGCTATCCAGCCTCTGGGTCCTGGCTCTCCAGGCAGTGTTCTAACCCTCTAATAGTATGGGTCTCAAGCAGGACCAGTCATTGTTTGGTCACTCCTATAATTCCTGTGCTACTTTTGTGCCAACATACCTTGTAGGCAGGGCAAATTGTAGGTTAGAGATTCTGTGATTGGGTTGGGGTAGGGGTCCAAATTCTTCCAGTAGAAGTCTTTGCTGGGTACAGAAGATGGCTGGTTCAGGATCTGTAGGTAGTTTCCTTCCCTATCTCTCGGGATTAGTTTTTGTTTGAAATCTCTTTTGTCACATATTGAATGGCTACACCAACTTACTTCTTGGTAATCTTTTTGTATCCTTTCACCATGAGCTGATGTATATTCTTGATGTTAAGGTGTGTTTCTTGGGTGCAGGAGAAGGATAGATCTTGTTTTCAAATCCAGTCTCTTATTCTGTTTCTTTTCAGTGGGAATCTGAGATCATTGATGTTTAGACATACCAATGAGCAGTGTTTGTTGATTCCTGCTATTTTATTGTGGTGTGTGTCTTTTATTTCTCTCATTTCTCTCAGCAAATTTGATTTGCTGACCTGAGATTATTTATTCCTGTGTTTTACTGGGTGTGGTTAACTTGTTAAGATTGAACATTTCCTTCCAGTGCTGTCTGTGTTGCTGGATTTGTAGATAAACATTGCTTAAATTAAGCTTTATTGTGAATTGTCTTTCTCCATCTATTGTGATTGAATGTTTTGCTGGGTATAGTAGTCTAGGCTTACATCTGTGGTCTCTTAGAGTCTGTAGAGCATCCCTTCAGGCCTTTCTGGCGTTTAGAGTCTCCATTGAGAAGTCAGGTGTTATTCTATTAAATCTGCTTATAAGTTACTTGGTCTTTTCCCCTGGAAATTCTTGATATTCCTTCTTATTCTGTACATTTAGTGTTTTGACTATGTGACAGTGGAATTTCTTGTCTGGCACAGTCTATTTGTTGTATATATGTTCGTTATACCTCAATAAGCAACTCCTTTTGGTTGGGGAAATTTTCTACGATTTTGCTGAAAATATTTTCT